GGCTTATGGATCAAATTCTAAACTAGATCTGAAAATATATGTTGATTTATTGAGGTTTAGATGATTATTTGGGATGAGAAATGAATTATTATGGTTATAGGATTATGATTCTAAGCTAGAGACTTAATTTTTAATTTTTGAGTATTTTAGGTACGAATTTATGAAATAAAAAAAAATTTTGATAATAGAAATTAGTTTAGAAGTTGATTTTTAGATTATTAATGTTTATTGATAATTAAAAGAGGAGTTAAAAATTATACTTAATAGTATTAACTATAGATTTGTATTAAGATTGAGATTAGGAATTATGTTATATTTTTAATTCTATTATTAGAATTATTTTATTAGTTTCAAAAATTGAAACTAATATTTATAAATAATATGTTATTTGTAGATTGTATTACTGGTGAAGATTGTGGTGAGAGAGAAATTTTAAGGAATAATTTATTGAAAAAGCCACAAGGTAACCATGCTTTTAATTTATGATTAGTGTTACTTCATGTTAATTGGGTGATTATTGAGAAAATTATGAATTTTGTAATATTGTATAATTGTGCAATATTATTATGAATTTGTTTATTTATTGTGGGAGGTGTTGGGAGACTTGCTATTATTGTTGTATTTATGTGCCACGTGGTACGCCCCTATTGGAGCTCAATAGGTGGTTTGTAAGGGCTCGGGCTAATCTACCTTTGGCCGGGTAATTTAGTACCGAGTGAGGGCTACGGCTCGAGGTTAATGGAGGGATATAAGGATGGTTGTTTGTGTGTATTATAATATTTCTTATATTTGTTGGAATTATATTATTTTTAATTCTCACTTAGTAAGCACACACTTAACTGTTTGTATACACTATCATAAATTGGCTTTGGTTACTGGGACTTTTGAGTCTCATTATGTGGTTAACAATTTTCAGGAGAAGAGCCACGAGTGACACGTGGAGGAGTCCCAGAGGCTTAGTGGTATAGATCCACTGTCTCTTTTGGGTATTTAATTTATGATTTATAATGTGTTATATTGCCAATATTAGGGTTTTTTGTTTATTGTCAATTATATGAATATATAAATGTAATCATGCCTTTCAAACTATTTCTATTTTTGGTACAATTTGGATGACTGTAATTTTAATATTTGGTTTACTTTGGATTGGTTAAAATGGCATGATTATAAGGCCAAATAACTGGCTTGTGTTGAAAATTGACTAAATTGTTTATTTTACTTGTTGGGAGTATAAGGATGGACAAATGTGATTTAGCCTAATGGCATGTGGGAGGTAAAAATTTATCTGAAATGTTATAGTGTGTGAGTTGAAGCCAATTATAAAATATTTTATATCGAAATTATTGATATAAAAATGTGTTGGGTGGCTGTAACCCAACTATGGTTGAGTTAAATTATTTAAAAAAAAAAATTTGGTGTGTTACAGTATGTTATTTGATCCATGTATGTATAAATTATTTTTTTTCCTTCTACCATGAAGATATAAAGTGTTTTTAGCATTTTCAATTTAATCTCATTTTGATGGTTATACTTAAAAATTTATAAAGTTATTGAGTACATTATATTAAATTTTCATCCTTCCAACTAATTTACAAAATTGATTGAAGTTATTATTTAAATTCTATCTTTGGGGATGTTATTCACTGAAAAATTTATTTTAATTTCAGATTCGTTATTTGATGCTGATCCCACTGTTGACCTCCAAAGGGGAATACAACTATATTGGGTGAAAATTTTGTTTGGTATTATTATTTTTTATGTAAATATTTAAATCTTATATATTTTAATTTAGAAGAAAAATTAGTTGCTCCACATAGATTATTGTTAGAATTTTATTTTGATTCATATATTATTTACTGGCTGAAAGGAGCTGAGCTCCTGATTTAGTTGATGTTTTGACTGACTCAGTGTATTTTAAAAAATTTAAGAGATTGTATTTATAGGTGATGTTTTATCAAAATTTTTACAAAAATGTTAAAGCCTTATTATGCAATTAATATCAAAAGTGTTATAATTTTTATATAATTTAATTATTTTTTTAAAAAAATAAAAAAATTTTCATTTTGAGACTTGAGAAATTTCGTAAAGTGATTCGTTTCTGTGCCACTCCGGCGAAGTGAGGGTAAACGAACCCAGCAAGATATTCGAGAATGTCAGAGAGATAAATAGGATCCTCGGCACTGACATGCTCGGCGTACTTGCTAGCCTTGAGGAAGCGATCGATCCTTCTGAGTTCTGACAGGAACTAAACACCAGCCTTCTGGGACTTTGATACTGACTCAGAGGCCTGAGCATGCCCATGCCACCCTTAGTCGTACCACCAACCAAGCTCATGTCTCACTCCGATTTAACTTTAACCCTAGATTTTGCAGAGGAAGTGTCTGGCTTCACCTTGTCACTGTTTATGTATTGAAAACTGAAACATCTCTTTTCATTTGTCAACATGCAGCATAATGGAGAAAAAGCGTAGATATTAATGCTCTTGTGATAAGTCGCTGCGTAAAATTTGAAATTGAAATTAACGCTGTCATGGAAAGTGATTAAAAAAAAAAAACTGTTGATTAAATGCTCCCGTGGATTTCAATTTTTCAATTCAAAAATTTAAAAAAAAATTGGCAGTACAAAAATAATTAAAAAAATAATAAAAGATGTATACTTAAAAAGTTAATTGAACCAATTGAAGAGAATAATTAATATTATACCAATGTATATTGATGTTGATCAACAGGAGAGAAGAGATTTGTAATCAATCACCTTAAGTTTTTTATTGGTTGATTGTCAATTGTCTTTGTCAATTTATATAAAAGACATAATTCACAGTCTTATCAATTTTAAAATTATGGAAAAAACTGAACATTTTAATCGTTTTCATGAGCATGGACCACAAACAACATGTTTCATTAAATATTTAGCCGCCAATATCGCAGGTGTAAATAACACGTTTATTTAATGTAATACCTCAACTAACTATATTACTTTCTTCAACTAACTATATTACTTTCTTTCGTTTCTTTCTTTTTGGCCAATCATTAATATTTATTTAAAATGAAAAAATGTTGCCTTCAAGTCTTAATACTTCGGGGAAATTCTAACAAAACAATAAATTAAAACAAAGCAAAACTAACACCCAGAAACTCGTAGTAAGTTAATAATCTCATCTCCCTTGAAAATTCATAGTTGTAGAGATTGAGACAAGAGATTCTTTGAAAATGTAGTAATTATTTACAAGTATGATTTTTTTACATTATATAGATTTAATTTTTTAAAATTATATTAATTCAATTATTTATAAGTAAGGATTTTTTAAAATTATATTGATTTAATTGAATTTAATACTACCTTTATTTTCTGTGTGGAATTGAAAACAGCACAATCTTATAACAGGGTTGTAACTTTCAATTACTTTCCACTCTAATTTTAATTTTTCTGGTCCTTTATAATAAATTTTAACAGTATTATATCACTCATCTTAATTTTCTCTAAACCCTTTTCCCAGATTTAAACTTTATCCCATCACTAAATTAAAAAAAATTAAATTAAAGAGTCCTTAGTTTTATTAACGAAGAATTCTTATGAAATTTTTCTAGGCTTATCATATATTTAAAATTTTGACTACATATATATAAACAACTCATTGAAATATCATATTTTATTAGTAAAATAACGTATTAAATATCTGTACAACTTTAAAGTTATTAATTGTTAACTTTAAATTTTAAATGTAATGACCCTAAATTTTAAATTAAATAAATTTCTTTTAAATTGATATTTATTTATTTATTATAATTTTATGATAAATGAAGAGTAGTGACATAGTAAAATTTATATTGATTATACATATAGAGGTGTAAAGTTCGAACCTTACTTTAGCTGGATGTCACTTTATTTTTATTAATATAAAAAGTACTAAAGTGCCCTTTCTTCTTATTATAAAAATATTATAAAAAATAAAAAATAAAATAAAAATCTGGTAGGGTCTTTTTCTGAAATTTTCCCAACAAGCTTTGGGTTATATTTTGTAATTTTTTCAAAGAGCTTATTAATTCATTTTTTGCTTCTCCTAGTCGGTGTGTGCAGGAGGGAGAGAGGGCTAACGTTCTTTTCTTTATGTTTTCCTTTCCTTTTTCCAATCTGGAACCAGACAAGACTAGTCTGGAACTCTCCCATCTTCTCCTTCGTGCCCGTTTGGACACGTTTTTAAACGATTTTATTCTCAAAAAAATCAATTATTTAGTTTATTAGCCAAACACATGAAAAAGTAAAAAATCGATTTCAACCTTTAAAATTAATTTTTTTAAAAGCTAATATTTTGAGCTTTTTCAGAAACGCTGATAAAAAGTGTTGGAGAAATTACATAAAAAGGTCCAAAAAAATTATAAAAGAGCACAAGATTTTATAAAAAAAAAATCAAAATCCCTTCTCTTCTCTTTTTTTTTCTTAGTAAAATTTAAATTTTAAATTTTTAAAAAAAGTTGCTAACATATATTAAGTTTAAATCAATTTTAAAAAAACAATATCCAAACAAATTACGTTATAACAAAATCAATTATGATTAAAATCTACCACTTAATCAATTATTTTCATAATTTATTATACTCAATTGAAATTCAAACGGACCCTTCTTCCCCCACTTGTAATAAAGGAAAGGAAACATTTGGAGAAGAATCGAGATAACAAAGAGAAAGAGAATATGGAAAAATGAATTTCACTTCTTACTTTGTGTTTACACTTTACTATATATACACGTGTGGGTCAGACTATTTACTCTATAACAAATAAATAACAGAATAACTAATCTAACAAAATGCAACAAAATGTTATCCTATATCTATATTATAGTCTGTCACCCCCTACAAGCTAGAGCATGTATGTCAATCATGCTCAACTTGGACACAAGAAACTTAAAGGGAGCAAGGGTAAAGAGGTTTGGTAAATAGGTCGGCTAATTGATCCTGAGAACGTAGCGAAAGAATATGAATGACACCCTCTTAGACTTTGTCTCACACCAAATGGCAATCCAATTCAATGTGCTTTGTCCGCTTGTGAAATGAAGGGTTGGAAGCAATCTGAATTGTAGACTGACTGTCATAGTATATCAAAGCAGCTTTAGAATGAGGAATTTTAAGGTCATCAAGCAAATAGAGAAGCCACTGTATCTCACATGTAGTCATGGCTAATGCCCGGTATTCAGCTTCAGAAGATGATCTCGAGACAGTACTTTGTTTTTTAGATTTCCAAGAGATGAGAGAATTATCAATAAAAACACAATCGCCGGTAATAGATCTCCTAGAATCCACACATGTAGCCCAATCATTGTCACTGAGTCCTTTTAATTGCACATCAGACTTAGAAGGGAAGAACATCCCCTAAGCTGGTGCAGATTTAATGTATCGAAGAACTCGATGTGCTGCTTGAAGGTGTAGATTAGTAGGGTTAGCCATAAATTGACTAAGTTGTTGAGCAGTAAATGATATATTCAGCCTGGTAGTGGTAAGATATAATAATCTGCAACAAGTTGACAATAAGCAGTTCTATCTAATAAAGGAGTACCTGTATCTAAACTCAGCTTAGCATTCCTATCCATTAGGGTGGAGGTAGGTTTGCAATCAGTGTACCCTGCTTCAGTTAAGAGATAAATAGCGAAATTGCGTTGGTAAATAGAAATACCAGCTTGCCTTCTAGCTGCCTCAAGGCCGAGAAATACTTGATAGGACCAAGATTCTTGATCTTAAAACTAACATCCAAGTTATGTTTTATTGTCTCAATTTCAGACAAATCATTACCAGTAAGAAGAATATCATCAACATACACTAGAAGAGCTGTAAAACTGGTACCATAGACTTTAATATAGAAAGAATAGTCAACCTTAGACTCAGTATACCTATATGAAATAAGGGCAGTTGAAAGTTTTTCAAATCACTTCCTCGGGCTTGTTTTAATCCATAAAGAGATTTTTGCAATTTACAGACAGAGTTGAATCAGAAGACTAAAAAGCAGGAGGCAAAACCATGTATACCTCTTCATCAAGGTTACCATGAAGGAAAGCATTATTGACTGTCAAGTTGTTGAAGATGCCAGTTATTAGCAGATGCTAAAGCTAAAAGTAATCTAACAGTAGTCACTTTAGCAATTAGGGAAAAAGTGTCAACGTAATCAATGCCCCTGTTTGAGTAAAGCCTTTGACAACCAGCCGGGCTTTATATCGATCAAGAGTACCATCAGACTTATATTTCTTAGTGAAAACCCATTTACATCCAATGGGATGTTTCCCATTAGGAAATGAGTAAGGATCCAAGTTTGAGTTTATTCCAGATCCTTTATTTCAGCATCCAATGCATGTCTCTAAGGTTTGATTTAGAAGCTTGACAGTAAGTTTTGGGAATATCATCAGAAGAAATCATTGAACAAAATTTTTTTTGAAAAGGAGAAAGAGAATGACAGGAAAGAACAGAAGAAAGCGGATATTTGTTACCTGAAGAGAATGATGAAGCTGAAGTAGTAAAGGATGAACAATAGTAATCCTGCAAATAAGTAGGAGTTTTATGTGGCCTGGAGGAAGTTCGTGTGGGTGCAGTTAAAGTAGAAGAAGAATCAGAGGTAGTAGGGAAGGAATTGGAAGGAAAAGATGAGGAGTTAGGATCAATTATATGAGTGGAAGTGGCAGCTAAATTGGGAATAATCGGTAATCAAGAGATGGTACATCAGCAGGAAGAGGAATGGTTGAATCTTGTGATGTAATATCAACATAAGGGAAAATATGCTCATAACAAATGACATCCTGAGAAATGAAAATTTTATTAGAAGAAATATTAAAAGTATATGCCCTTTAGTAGCTTTAGGAAATCCAATAAAAATACATTTAGAATCTCTAGAATCAAATTTAGTTCGATTAGTAGGTAAAGTAGAAGCATAGCATAATGAACCAAAGACTCTTAATCTGAATATGAAGGATTTGTAGCAAACAGTAAACTGAAAGGAGAAGTATGATTAAATGATAGAAGGAGTATTAATGATGAAAACAGCATGAGCAATAGCGAAACACCAATATAATTTTGGAAGGTTAGCTTGAAATAAAAGAGCTCGGGCAACATTAATATTTGTTGATGTTTCCTTTCAACTGTGCCGTTTTGTTGAGGTGTTTCAATACAGGAAGTTTGATGAATAATACCTTTGGACTGATAAAAAGATTCCATAGACAACTCAAGGCCATTATCAGATCTTATAGTTTGAACTTTGGTATCATATTGAGTTTCAACATAGATAATAAAATTTTGGAAGATGAACCCGAACCTCAGATTTAGAATTCATAAGAAAAGTCCATGTATATTGACTATAACCATCAACTAGTGTCAAAAAATATCTAAAACCTTGAATAGAAGGCACACTAAAAAGACCCAAATATCAGTGTGGGTTAAAGAAAAACTTTTATTACTGACAGAAGTACTTACAGGAAAGCTCAAATGTTTTTGTTTTGCCATATGGCATACATCACATGGATCAAACTTTGCATTACATTGTATGAAAGGAAATTGCTGATGTAAAATTTTTAAAGTAGAAGAACAAGTATGACCTATTCAGTGACGCCCACAATCAAGTGAAGTGGATTGAGTTGAGGAAGTGGTAGGATGTTGTTGAGCTGCGGAGATTGAAACAGCCATAGTCTGATTTATTTTTTCAGGATTAAGAAATATAATCCTTTAAATACTTTAGCTATACCAATCGTCTTCCACGGAAAGAGAGCCTGAATGTAACAAATAGAAGATAAGAAAATGAAACAAGACTAGAATGAATCAGTAAGCCTTGAAACAGAGAGAATATTAAAGGCAAAATTAGGAATGTAGAAACATTGTGAAGGATCAAAGACTCAAAAAGACGTATGGTCCTTGAAACATTAGCAATGATACAGCTTTGATTAGGAAGTTTGATAGGGATAGGAGAAATATGTTTATATTCGGAAAAGAAATCAAGTATATGGCAAACACGATCGGTAGCCCCTGTATCAATGATCCAAGAGGTATAATGAGAACTTTTACCTTGATTTTGAGTCGAAGAAGAAATAGAATGGAGATTGTGACAGATGGTATGGAATTCGAATGATTTACATACAATAGAGAAGAAGAATTGGATTGAACAAGTTCAAGAAGTTTCTGGTATTGCTCTGGTATGAATTGAGGAGAAGGATGTGAGATTATGCCAAGAGAATTAGTCTACGGGCTCTGTCATAGATAAAGATAAAGGATCTTGAGATTGAAAATTATAAGTCGATGTAGAAGATTGATTTTGAAATTTAAAGCCCGGTGGAAACCCATGCTTTCGGTAATAGGTGTCCACTGTATGACGAGCACAATTGCAATATGTACAAAACTTAGTATTAGTAGATCCATTAGCACCAAAATTCTTTGATCCAGATCCAGAATACGACGAGGTGGTCCTTTGTTGAACAAAATAGTTGATTCAACACCTATGTGTATCTCTCGTTCTTGTTGCAAAATCATGGAAAACGCTCTGTTAATAGAGGGTATAGGATCAAGTAACATGATTTGAGACTTCATTGATGCAAATCGATCATTAAGGCCTTTCAAGAATCCAAGGTAATAGTCTTGCTCTCGATATACAACACAAGAGCATGTAAAGTTACAAGAACACCTCATGATTGGATGAAGAATTTTGTATTCGTCCCAAAAAAATCTTCAGTTTAGTGAAATATTCACTAACTGAAAGTCACCCTGCTTGAAGGAGAAGATCTCATCCTACAACTCAACAACTCAAAAAAACATCACTCTGTGCGAACCGATCTTTCAGATTTGACTAGATCTTATATGCTTTTTCTAACCACAAAGGTGCTTTGCGCTATCGTTGGAGTAAGAAAGCGTGTAATCCAGGTGCAAACCATCGTGTTACAATGCAACCAAGCAGGATAGAGGATCTAAAATAAAGGCACAAGAATCGAGCCATCAACGAACTGGAGCTTGTTCTTGGACTGAGAGCCATCCATATAGCTCTTGACCCGTATGATAATGATAATTCAAACCATTTAGGGCTGGAGTGACCAGAACCAGAGCAGGGTTCTCATTAGGGTGTAGATAATATGGGCTAGCAAGATTTTGTGTAGGGTCGAGAGAGCTACCGGAGCCGATGCCAATGTTAATAGACAAATTGATCATGGCGATGATGACCGCTTTGATACCATGTAACGAAGGGAAGGGAAAATTTTGAGAAGAATTGAGATAACAAAGAGAAAGAGAATACGGAAAAATGAATTTCACTTCTTACTTTGTTTGTGTTTACACTTTACTATATTACACGTGTGGGTTAGACTATTTACACTGTAACAAATGAATAACAGAACAACTAATCTAACAAAATACAGCAAAATGTTATCTCATATCTGTATTATAATCTGTCACCACTATCTCCTGCTACCGTCGGTGTGTGTGTGTGAGCGGTTTCCAACCACTGCTGTAAGGCTTCAAATCACAATTCTCCTCCTCCTCTTTCTTCAATCATGTTCTGAGTTGCAAAGAGGGCCAGAGATCGAAAAGTTTTCTACGTCTTCTCTAACCTTATTCATAGTTTTAGACCATCGCCGACAAGTACTTAGGTGTGTTTTGCCGTTGCTCAGTCTTTAATCATCTGAACCAAGACCTAATTATTCTCCCGTCTTGCGTTCATGTGCATGTGTGGTTGTGAGAGCCTCGATCTTTTCTTTTTCTGCCTAGAGCTAGATTATGTGTGTGAGTGAGCTCAGAGTTGGGGCTACTTCCTCAATATTGATTTATCCCTTTCCTTGGTCCAGCCTCATTTGGTCTGCTGGTGAGTGAGCCTCACCTCTCTTCCCTCTATCATTTAGCCTCTATTTGTGTGATTGTGCTGGCTTGTTGAAATCTGGAATTGTCTTTCTTTTAATTAAAATACTGATCGTGTATGATGGAGGAGGGAATAGTATTGTTTCCTAACTTGGATTGATTGTTATCCGGAAATGAAATTTGGCAAAACGAAATATGAAGAAAAGAAAATGATTAATGTTGTGGGTTGGAACTTTAATTGAAACTGATTGGATTATTATTATAATATTGATATTGTAAAATTTTAGAAAAGTGAAAAAAAAGGTTAATACTAGCTTAATGATTAATGTCCGTAAGGTATTCGATAAAATGCCCTTAGAAGTGTTTTGCTTGATTTTGTTTGCACTTTTTTAAAATTTCATTGGTTCCTATGAGAGTACGTTAGTGTATGTGTTATTGATCTATGAATTAACTTGAGGTTGCAAAGAAAATTTTGTTAAAAATTAGTTGTTGATAGATTATGTGATAAGAGGTTTTTAATGTTACAAGTTCTTGCGCGGATTGGAAAATTAGTTATATCCATGTAAAAACTTTTGTGTAATCTTGGTTATAAAGTTTTAAATTTATTGTCATTATATATATATACAGAGAGAGAGAGGATGTATTAATGTTTGGAAGAGTTTTTAAGTATTGTTGGAAGTTTATTAAGACCTTGATATATTCTATAGGAAGTCTAGAAGGAGGAGAAATTGATTAATGTGGTAAGAAGAGAACATTTTACATTGAAAAATTTTTAGGTAAGTGGATAGTGTCCCAACTACTTCACCTATAAAACTATTTTTTTTGAATATTATAATTTTTATGTAAATTATTTTTATAATAATTATGTAAGTATTGAATATTTATCATTTAGATTTCTTTATCTCATGGAATTATAAAGCAATGGCGGGGAACAATTAAATTATGGTATGCGTGCATATATTCTTCTTGTGAAGTATACTTTCAAGAATTATGAAATTATTTTATCACTATGGAAATTGTGGTTTCTCAATAAATGCAAGAATGAGCATTAGCTATGCAACTTTATTTCGAAAAGTTTTGATACTTAAAATATGATCCATGCGAGTTTGATTTTGGTAATGAGAACTATATTTTAGTGGTGATGATTTTCTCACATGTTTGAAAATGATTTTGGAGAGAATTTTATATAGAACACTGGTTACTAATGACAGTTCCGTTAGCCTTTGGCATGCCATAATCAATGACTAGCTAGTTTGATTTTTTGTGAGCTCTGTTCTCACATTTATTATTTGTGAGTTTAGTCCACTGCATTTGTTTTTCATGGCTTCAAGTCGTGTTTGGTTATTTACCCTTGTGGACTGTGTGTGTCACGTTTGTTTGTAGCTCAAACACGTTTGGTTACTTACTCTTGTGATTGTGTGTCCATGTTTGTCTTCGTAGCATAAAGTCACGTTTTATTATTTACTCGTGGATTGCGTTCCACGTTATGAATTGTTCTGCTAAAATCTCATAAAAATATGTGAATTTTAATTAATTAATTGGTAATTTCATACTAATGGCTTTTTAATTTAGCAAATACTGTTGTTTTATTTATTTATTTAATCATTTTAACTTGTCAAAATTAAATGTTAAAGCTTTTTGTCATTATAGATTTAAAATGTTCTTTCATTAAAGTTATGTGGAACTTTTATTCCAAGTTTATAAATTTGTTTATAGTGAATGCTTTCTCATTTAATTTATATAATCATTGTATTTATTCATTTGATTTTACAAAATGTTATGGTTGGGACGTTATTTACTGAAAGTTATTTTGTTTCAGACTCATTAACTGACGCTGAATATCGTGCTGATCACTAATGGGTTTATTATTGACTGGAAGTAAAGGAGTGTGGATCTAAACTTTCTCTTGATATAAAGTTTTAATTATAAAATTTATTTTGTAACATATTTTTAAGTGCTCTACATAGCCTGTAGTTAGGTTATTCATATGATTATATATTTTATTTGTTGTTAGCTAGAAGGAGTTTTGTTCTTGATTAATTTGATATTTTGATTGAAGCTTTTTATAATACAAAAAATGGTCACACATTTTATAAATTAATATAACATATTATGTTTTGTTTAATTAAAAGGTTTATTAATTTAAAGCTTGAGGGATGTGTGATGTAGTTTACATCCCATGCTGGTAATCTATATTTTTGAGGTGTGACATTAAAAGTAAGTTGTTGTGTGTGTGTTAAAATCAAGAAGTAGAGTAAAATATTTAAAACATAGTTTGAATAATTTAAATCAAAAAATAAATTTGTTGTGTATATTTTCCTTTTCACCCATCCAAGGTACAATTTTTTTTTTGGTTACAAATTTGAATTAGGATAAATTGGGTGCACTGGCAAAAAAAAAACAGTTATGCCTAAAAATATGATCAACTTTTTGAACATTTAGGAGTATAATAGGTTTACATTGATATACAAATGGTTTATCATTGAAAGTTTAAAAATTTATGAGGGTTTCTCCTGATATATAATGGTACATATTAATAGCAACAATATATAATAAACCAACAATAATGTAAATAAAATTTGGCTATTTACTTAGTTTTAGTTTGATTTCTATAAAATTGATTATATTTGCAAAAGCCCCTTTAGATTACTCTCTCATGGCCTATTTATAGGGTAAAGAAATTTTTTTGTTTATATATATAAATCATCTCATTAAATTTCATCACAAATTCTTTCATTTGCCTTCCATTAAATGTTGGAGAAAAAAATTATGTTGTTAAAGTATGCATGTTTAATAGGGATAAAGTTGAAAATTATTAAATTTTTTAGATGAAGTTGATAAGTTTTCAAATTTTTCTTGATTTATGATGAAACATGTTAAAGGTTCTTATAAATAGAATTAAAAAATAATTGATTAATTAAGATACACACCCATCATTTAGGTCCTGTTCACTTGTCGCCATAAATGTGATACTTTAATTTTATTTGGCCCTAATTAGGGCCTCAATTTAAATCCCTAAAATGAAGAAGCATGATAATAAAGTTGATTATTTTATTTTATTTAAGTAATTTTTTTTTGAGCTATAATAAATTGCACTTTACTTGACCATGAATTGTGCGTTCATAAATTTTGTTCGGTTCAAGTAAATTGTTTGTTCTGTAAAATTACTTTGTGCATAAAAGACATTGCCATATAAAAGCTTAGTAAACGGATGTTGTGAAAATATTGCCATGATTGTGTTCAAGTAAAAAAAACTACTATAAAAGTTGGGAAAGACAGTTTGAACCGACAAGAGCATATTTCAAGTCAAAAAACAAAAAAAAACGACAAGAGCATATCTAGTTATAGATATATTCCAACCTGGTATTTTAATTATAGATTGAGATCTCCCTGCCCAGTTGCTTCCATTAGAATATCTTCCAAAAGCACTTTCTTTTTTGCGTAAAAATCTAGTATTCCAGGATTTTGATTTAAACTAATTCTGGAATACTAGAGATTTGTATTAAAGTGCAAAAGATTATTGCAAAGTAATAATAGAAAA